AAAATCGCTGTTGTTGCTGTGTTTTTCTTCAGGGATCGTGAAGTTTTGAAGGTAAGAGGTTTACGAGATCCATTCTTTACTAGTAAACTGTTTGTTGAAAATTTGGTTCGAATTGTTTCAGAGGAAGCGTAATTGTGTTTGTTTGTGATTAGGTAGGTTTTTTTTTTTTTTTTGAATTTTGTTTCCTGGTGATTAGGGTTTTTTTAATTTTTTTTGGGAGATGGGTTATTTTCCGTGCCGAATTTTGTGAATTAGGTAGGAGTTGGTTCCATGTTTGAATATAATGAGCTGAACAAAGGATCCGGAATTAGGCGAATTGTAGTCTTTTATGGCTTCTGAAATACCTAATTGTGTCTCTACTTGCTTAAATGAAGCGTTTTAAGGTGTAGTATGATTTATTTGGTTTATGATCTTTTCCTCTTGAACTTCTTCCTAGTGTGGTTAAAGTTGCTAACTTTGTCTCATCCTTGGATTTGGGGTTTGAGTTTTGCTTAGTTGTAATAGAATTCTTCTGTTTTTATCCTGTGGAGTTCTTTGCTTGATGTTTGGGCTGGTATGTGAGTAAATGAACCCTTCTATTAGTCATTCTGGCAAGATCTTATGTGCATTTTGTTTTTGTAGACACTGGCTTTGTTTATAACACTTTTGGTTCATCTTTCAGGGGAAGAGCTATGGTCCGTTGAAAAAACTGAAAAGTTAAAAAAGGATTTTGATTCTGGTTTTATTAGTTAAGTTTCGTTGTCATCTGCAAAATGCCGTCTGATATAATGGAACAGAGAGGTGTCTCATCCTTTCATGAAGATATACATATTACTTCAGAGGTAACACTTGGTTTTATTGTTGGATTTTAACTGTGTAGCACTAGAATTGCTGGTACCGTATGACATGATTGGCCTATAATGTCCAAATCTGTTTTTCTCAAGTATACTTGTTGTTTTGTTCGGCAGAGGCAATTTGGGTTTCTGAAAACAGACCTGATGCCTGAAAACCAAGGTGGTCGTGATAGATTTTCGAATCTGCCAAAGAGTTCCTGGACACCTGAAAGTTACCAGCTGAAGCCACAACCGAGCTTTTCTGGGGTGCATCCCTCTTCTAGCCCTAACACAAGGAACACTACAAGTGGTGGCCAGTGGGAAAGCAGTTTATTTTCCAGCTCAATGTCTGATTTATTTAGTAGAAAACGTAAGCTTCTGGTTCACGTTTATGAACTTTTACTTATTATGTTGATTTTTGTCTATCAGCTACCTAAACCTGCTATCATCTATGGTAAAGAAACGTCGTTAGTTGATCAAGTACACCATAATATGATTGTGAAAGTTTGTTACTTCTGTGTTCTGACATACTGTACTTTAACTACTTGAGTGCGTTTCCAACTGCTGGTTTTGCAGTACGCCTACAAAGAAGTGATATGCTATCTCCTATGTCTGCAAACACAGTTGGTACCCATCGTGAGGAAGAACCTTCTGAATCTTTAGAAGAAATTGAGGCGCAAACTATTGGAAATCTTCTCCCAGATGAAGATGACCTCTTTGCGGAAGTGATGGGCGAGGTTGGGCGTAAATCTCGTGCCAATGGAGATGATCCGGATGATTTTGATCTCTTCAGTAGTGTTGGTGGAATGGAACTAGATGGAGATGTTTTTTCTTCTGTGGATCACAGAAATGGTGAGAGAGGCGGCAATATTTCTTTTGGCGAACATCATCGAGGGGAAATTCCATCGAGAACAATTTTGGCCGGAAATATCAGTAGCAATGTTGAAGACTATGATCTGAAGGTCCTTTTTGAGGTACCTTCTTCCAGCAGCGTTTTTGGTTCCCGTGGATTCCATTTAGGAAAAACATGGCATGTAGAAATGTTGGAACTGATTACTTCGTACTGACGATAAATTTACTTGTTCAGCAATTTGGAGACATCCAGGCTCTCAATGCAGCTTGCAAGAATCGTGGCTTTATCTTGGTATCGTACTATGATATAAGGGCTGCTCAGAATGCGGCGAGAGCACTCCACAATAAGCTATTAAGAGGGACAAAAATTGACATTCGTTATTCTATCCCTAAGGTGTTATTCACTGTTCATTTTCGTCTCTGCTATGTGGATTGTACTTGTGACTTGTATTGATTCGTATCTTTCTTACAATTTTTCTTGCTATCAGGAAAATCCTTCAGAAAAAGACACGAGTAAAGGAGCCTTGCTGATTAATAATCTTGATTCTTCTATTTCAAATGAAGAGCTCAATCGAATCGTCAAATCATATGGAGAAATAAAAGAGGTTGATATACTAGGATTCTCCTTGTATTGACTTTTCGAGATTGATTCTTATACTGTTACTATGGTTTGCAGATTCGTAGAACCATGCATGATAACCCACAGATATACATAGAGTTCTTTGACATTCGAGCTGCAGAGGCTGCTCTTGGTGGACTGAATGGACTCGAGGTTGCTGGGAAGCAGCTGAAACTTGTGCCAACCTTTCCAGAGGGTACAAGGTGGTGATTGGTTTTTTTTTTATATTCCTTTGTAGGCTGTGAACAAATGCAAATGCTAATCAAACTGGTCTGAACATGTGATTTGCTGTTAAGTCTTTACAAGGACGCCAATTGTGCTGGTGTGTAGGATTCACCTTTTTTGTCTTTTTCAGATACACGTCCCAGTGGGCTGCACATGATGCTGAAGGGTCTCTTCCTAAAATGTCTTTTAGTAATACATCATCCGGGCACATGGGTATGCTTTTGAATTCATGGATTATAATTCTTTTTTTTCTCAATGATTTTGTCATGTTGGTGCTCAGATCACTGCCGTCAAATATCTCTGTTTCAGGGAGACATTTTCCAGGAATAATTTCTTCAAACTCCATGGATGGTGGATCTATGCGGGTTATTCATAATTCTGTTGGATCACCTGTGAACTCCTTCATTGAACGACATCGGAGTCTCAGCATTCCTATTGGATTCCCACCTTCGGCAAACGTCATCGCAGCCAGCAAGCTTGTCGGACTTCAGGAGCATGGCCACCCTTTTGATAATTCAAATATGGGGATCCAAAGCATGCCAAATCTTCATAATTCTTTTCCAGATTACCTCGACAACTTCGCAAATGGTAGTCCATACAAGTCCTCGGCTGCATTTTCTGAAATGGTCAGTGATGGCTCAAAAGCAAATGAAGGCTTTATGATACATAATGTCCGTGGAGGGGATGGCTTTAACGGAGGGGGTAAGTTCTTTATCTCTAAATTGCTACTGTCTCTGATTATTTTGTCGACGAATAATGATGATATGTAGTTGACAATTTGATTTAAGAAGAATGCTCTACTGTAGCACACTATCAGAGCATAATCTTTAAGTTAGGTTATTGAGATGGTCCTTATAATTTAGTGAACTGTGAAACGCTACAGCCATGCAAACTCTAGGTACTGTGGTCTGATTAAACAACTTGCTTTACAACTGATTTTTTCTTGTCATTCTTGGTGTAAAACTTGTCATCCTAGGGAAAATAGTACTACCATTATGCTCTTAATTTCAGTAACCTAAACAGATTAGGCGGTGTTGCACTGGTGTTAGAAAAGAAAAAGGGGATGAGCACTCATTGTGTGTATCAATAGAGTTGCACAATTACTGAATGCTGTTAAAATTTGATATATAAGATTGTGATGAAGTTTTTCTTCCACTATATTGTTTTTCCTCACTTTTAGTTGTTGTGATCTTTTGACTGTAGGCATAGGATCTCCCATGAATCAAAGCTCCCGCCGCCCTAACCTTAATTTATGGAGCAACTCTAACACCCAGCAACAAAATCCGTCAAGTGGTATGATGTGGCCTAACTCGCCATCTCACATCAACAACATTCCGACTCAGCGCCCACCTGTTACTGTATTCTCTAGAGCACCTCCTATTATGGTGAATATGGCATCGTCCCCTGTGCACCACCACATTGGATCTGCGCCGGTATTAAACTCTCCTTTTTGGGACAGAAGACAAGCCTATGGAGCTGAATCTCTAGAATCATCTGGCTTCCACATAGGTTCTCATGGTAGCATGGGGTTTCCTGGCTCTTCACCATCCCACCCAATGGAAATTGGTTCCCATAAGTCTTTTTCCCATGTTGGTGGGAATCGCATGGATGTAAATTCTCAAAATGCTGTATTGCGGTCTCCTCAACAGTTGTCTCATCTCTTTCCCGGAAGGAGCCCAATGGGTTCAATGCCGGGCTCATTTGACTCGCCAAATGAACGATACAGGAATCTCTCTCATCGGAGAAGCGAGTCTAGCTCTAGTAATGCTGACAAGAAACTGTATGAGCTTGATGTTGACCGTATATCACGTGGGGATGATAGCAGGACAACGTTGATGATTAAAAACATTCCCAATAAGTAAGTGAACTCAGGGTTTCTATTTTAAGTTTAACTTCGTAGGTTGTTTGATTTATTCTGCTCGCTGCATTGCTGACATTTTTTTAATGCTGCTATGGTTTTAGGTATACTTCTAAGATGCTTCTATCTGCCATTGACGAGCACTGTAAAGGAACATATGATTTCCTTTATTTGCCAATTGACTTCAAGGTAAGCAGGCGTCCTACCTCGTTTTTTTTCATATAAGAAAGTCTTATGCAGAAACTGAGCTTTTGTTATTTGCATTATCGAGTTTTGTCTAAATGTACCCTCTCGTTTCAGAACAAATGCAACGTGGGATATGCTTTCATCAACCTTATTGAACCTGAGAAGATTGTCCCGTTTTATAAGGTACAGTCTCCTGTTGCTACTTTTTCATATCTCTTTTGGCTTATTTGGAAGAGCATTAGTTTAAAGCTCTATAAACATTCACAGGCATTTAATGGCAAAAAGTGGGAAAAGTTCAACAGTGAGAAGGTGGCAACTCTTACATATGCTCGAATCCAAGGGAAAATAGCTCTTATTGCCCATTTTCAGAATTCAAGCTTAATGAACGAAGACAAACGTTGCCGACCTATTCTCTTCCACACCGATGGTCCAAATGCTGGTGATCAGGTAAAGATTAACTCATTCTTGTTTGGCTCCCATGATCTCATTATTTATTAGTGGCTCAAATTCGCTCTCCCTTCGGTTGCACGTATTCAAATTGGTTCTTGTGATCGCATAACATCACAAGATCTGATGATGATGCTCAAATACTCAATGTAGATCCATTTGTTTCATATTTTCTACTTTTGTTGTTGTACATTGCAGGAACCATTTCCAATGGGTACCAACATACGATCAAGACCGGGCAAGCCACGAACCAACAGTGTCGATAACTACAACAGCTTTAGCATCGCTTCCGTTTCTGAAAACCGAGAAGAACCTCCTAATGGAAACGATCCTTTCTTGAAAGAGAACTAACCAATGAGCAAACAAGCAGAGGTAAAACAAAAAAAAGGAGAGCTAAAGATAACAAAAGGAAAGGT